TAATGAAATAGAATAATAGATAAATACAAGGCTGTATAACAATAACGCTCGCAGGAGCATTTTTTTTTATAGTTGTAAATTATTAATTTATAACTATAAAGTGTATTATAAATAAAAAAATATTACATACATAATTTACTAGCTACTCGTCCCGGCTTCGCACGGGTGTACATGTATTATGTATAAACCTTCCTCTATCTATTAAAAAAAATCGCTTCAAAATCCGTTGCGTAGTTTTAAACATAGGGACGGACAGACAGCGACAGCGACTTTGTTTAATACTATATACTATATATATGATGATAATTAATTAGTTAAATTTCTAAAATAAATATGTCTTTACATAGTATAAGATTTATTTATTTTTATTTTTATTTATTTATTTAAGATAAGATGAAGACTGTTCGTTTAAAATATCTTCTAACAGATCATTATCTGTATTCAGTTGTCAGCAATAGATAGAGTGAATCAAGAGGAATGTTTATATATAACTTATATTTTTAAATTACTTAAATTTATTATTTGAATCGATTTGCTGTGAGGAGCTGGTGTCTGAGAGTAAGCTCGGATATGACGATCGTTAGAGATCAGTGGAAGAGAATGACACACTGCGCCGACCGCAAATAATGGGATAAAGGCTCGGCAATGATGATTTTTCAGTGACGTAATCGTATGCATTTGTTCATTGTTAGTCACGCGCGAGACGCCGAGTATTCTAACCACTGATCTAAGTGTTACGTGTTTGTTTGTCTATGCATTTGTAGTATGACATCATTGTTACTGCAAGCTGCTGTTTTGGCAGCCTTTTCAACCGATAGACAGAGGACAAAGATATAGCTTTCAAAATTTTATATTTAAATAGACTTCAAAAAAACAAGAGTCTCAATTCGCTTGAATTCTTTTTATGTTGTTAACTCAGAACTACAGATTTGAAAATATATTTTGTTACATTGTAATGACAAATTAATTGTCCAGATGGATGGACCTAAATGGTAATTATCGCTATAGACACGAATATCATAAAATACATTGTAAAGCCCCCGAGACTACTGTTACTCTCGCGATGCCTCTGTTACGCTCGCGATACCCCTGTTACGCTCGCGATGCCACTGTTACGCTCGCGATACCCTGTTTACTCGCGATATATGTACCTGTTACACTCGCCATACATTCGTTACGCTCGCGATACCTCAGTTACGCTCGCGATGCCACTTTTAAGCTCGCGATACCCTGTTTACTCGCGATATTACTGTTACGCTCGCGATACCCCTGTTACGCTCTAGGTGCCCTTGTTACACTCGCCATACACCCGTTACGCTCGCGATACCCTTGATACGCTCGCGATGCCCCTGTTACACTCGCCATACACCCGTTACGCTCGCGATACCCTTGATACGCTCGCGATACCCTTGTTACACTCGCCATACACCCGTTACGCTCGCGATACCCTTGATACGCTCGCGATGCCCCTGTTACACTCGCCATACACCCGTTACGCTCGCGATACCCTTGATACGTTCGCGATGCCCCTGTTACACTCGCCATACACCCGTTACGCTCGCGATACCCTTGATACGCTCGCGATACCCTTGTTACACTCGCCATACACCCGTTACGCTCGCGATACCCTTGATACGCTCGCGATGCCCCTGTTACACTCGCCATACACCCGTTACGCTCGCGATACCCTTGATACGCTCGCGATACCCTTGTTACACTCGCCATACACCCGTTACGCTCGCGATACCCTTGATACGCTCGCGAAGCCCTCTGTTACACTCGCCATACACCCGTTACGCTCGCGATACCCCTGTTACGCTCGGGATGCCCTTGTTACACTCACCATACACCTGTTACACTCGCCATACACCCGTTACGCTCGCGATACCCTTGTTACACTCGCCATACACCCGTTACGCTCGCGATACCCTTGATACGCTCGCGATGCCCCTGTTACACTCGCCATACACCCGTTACGCTCGCGATACCCTTGATACGCTCGCGAAGCCTCTGTTACACTCGCCATACACCCGTTACGCTCGCGATACCCCTGTTACGCTCGGGATGCCCTTGTTACACTCACCATACACCTGTTACACTCGCCATACACCCGTTACGCTCGCGATACCCTTGTTACACTCGCCATACACCCGTTACGCTCGCGATACCCTTGATACGCTCGCGATGCCCCTGTTACACTCGCCATACACCCGTTACGCTCGCGATACCCTTGATACGCTCGCGAAGCCTCTGTTACACTCGCCATACACCCGTTACGCTCGCGATACCCCTGTTACGCTCGGGATGCTCTTGTTACACTCACCATACACCTGTTACACTCGCCATACACCCGTTACGCTCGCGATACCCTTGTTACACTCGCCATACACCCGTTACGCTCGCGATACCCTGTTACACTCGCCATACACCCGTTACGCTCGCGATACCCTTGTTACACTCGCCATACACCCGTTACGCTCGCGATACCCTTGATACGCTCGCGATGCCCCTGTTACACTCGCCATACACCCGTTACGCTCGCGATACCCTTGATACGCTCGCGAAGCCTCTGTTACACTCGCCATACACCCGTTACGCTCGCGATACCCTTGATACGCTCGCGAAGCCTCTGTTACACTCGCCATACACCCGTTACGCTCGCGATACCCTTGATACGCTCGCGATACCCTTGTTACACTCGCCATACACCTGTTACACTCGCCATACACCCGTTACGCTCGCGATACCCTTGTTACACTCGCCATACACCCGTTACGCTCGCGATACCCTGTTACACTCGCCATACACCCGTTACGCTCGCGATACCCTTGTTACACTCGCCATACACCCGTTACGCTCGCGATACCCTTGATACGCTCGCGATGCCCCTGTTACACTCGCCATACACCCGTTACGCTCGCGATACCCTTGATACGTTCGCGATGCCCCTGTTACACTCGCCATACACCCGTTACGCTCGCGATACCCTTGATACGCTCGCGATACCCTTGTTACACTCGCCATACACCCGTTACGCTCGCGATACCCTTGATACGCTCGCGATGCCCCTGTTACACTCGCCATACACCCGTTACGCTCGCGATACCCTTGATACGCTCGCGATACCCTTGTTACACTCGCCATACACCCGTTACGCTCGCGATACCCTTGATACGCTCGCGAAGCCTCTGTTACACTCGCCATACACCCGTTACGCTCGCGATACCCCTGTTACGCTCGGGATGCCCTTGTTACACTCACCATACACCTGTTACACTCGCCATACACCCGTTACGCTCGCGATACCCTTGTTACACTCGCCATACACCCGTTACGCTCGCGATACCCTTGATACGCTCGCGATGCCCCTGTTACACTCGCCATACACCCGTTACGCTCGCGATACCCTTGATATGCTCGCGAAGCCTCTGTTACACTCGCCATACACCCGTTACGCTCGCGATACCCCTGTTACGCTCGGGATGCCCTTGTTACACTCACCATACACCTGTTACACTCGCCATACACCCGTTACGCTCGCGATACCCTTGTTACACTCGCCATACACCCGTTACGCTCGCGATACCCTTGATACGCTCGCGATGCCCCTGTTACACTCGCCATACACCCGTTACGCTCGCGATACCCTTGATACGCTCGCGAAGCCTCTGTTACACTCGCCATACACCCGTTACGCTCGCGATACCCCTGTTACGCTCGGGATGCCCTTGTTACACTCACCATACACCTGTTACACTCGCCATACACCCGTTACGCTCGCGATACCCTTGTTACACTCGCCATACACCCGTTACGCTCGCGATACCCTGTTACACTCGCCATACACCCGTTACGCTCGCGATACCCTTGTTACACTCGCCATACACCCGTTACGCTCGCGATACCCTTGATACGCTCGCGAAGCCTCTGTTACACTCGCCATACACCCGTTACGCTCGCGATACCCTTGATACGCTCGCGATACCCTTGTTACACTCGCCGTACACCCGTTACGCTCGCGATACCCTTGATACGCTCGCGATGCCCCTGTTACACTCGCCATACACCCGTTACGCTCGCGATACCCTTGATACGCTCGCGAAGCCTCTGTTACACTCGCCATACACCCGTTACGCTCGCGATACCCTTGATACGCTCGCGAAGCCTCTGTTACACTCGCCATACACCCGTTACGCTCGCGATACCCTTGATACGCTCGCGATGCCCCTGTTACACTCGCCATACACCCGTTACGCTCGCGATACCCTTGATACGCTCGCGAAGCCTCTGTTACACTCGCCATACACCCGTTACGCTCGCGATACCCCTGTTACGCTCGGGATGCCCTTGTTACACTCACCATACACCTGTTACACTCGCCATACACCCGTTACGCTCGCGATACCCTTGTTACACTCGCCATACACCCGTTACGCTCGCGATACCCTGTTACAGTCGCCATACACCCGTTACGCTCGCGATACCCTTGTTACACTCGCCATACACCCGTTACGCTCGCGATACCCTGTTACACTCGCCATACACCCGTTACGCTCGCGATACCCTTGTTACACTCGCCATACACCCGTTACGCTCGCGATACCCTGTTACACTCGCGTTGCCCCTGTTACACTCGCCATACACCCGTTACGCTCGCGATACCCTTGATACGCTCACGATACCCTGTTTACTCGCGATATTACTGTTACGCTCGCGATATCCCTGTTGCGCTCGCAATACCCCCTTTCCTCCAGTAGTAGCGGGTTTCATTCTTCCCACTATATTCGTAATCATGATTATGATAGTATTGGTCTCTTTTCTATGTGTATTAGGTATGCAAAAATGTATTTAAGTATTTTATCAGTTGTTTAGTATACACAGCACAAACTCTGCATAGTGTGGAACTAGATAGCGCTGTGTAATTTATCCTGAGTTATTCTTATTGAAAGATTCTGTGTTTGTACAATATGTCTGACGTCATTTCCTTTGCCAACAGATTCAAAAGCAACAAAATCTACACATACATTGGCGAGGTGCTGGTGTCTGTAAACCCATACAAATCGCTGGACATCTATGGACCACAGCACATGGCACAGTACAGGGGGCGGGAGATGTTCGAAGTCTCGCCCCATGTGTTCGCGGTGGCTGATGCCTGCCAGAGGGTGTTACGTCAACAGGTGAGTACTTAGATGAAGTTCACCTTAGCTCCAAAGAAAAACCATCCGTATCTTTATATATAAAAATTACGTGTCACGTTGTTTGTCCGCGATGGACTCCTAAACCACTGAACCGATTGCAAATTTGATTTGCACACTGTGTTCAATTTGATCCAATTTGAAAGATAGGATTTATTTATATAAAAAAAACATCTATTCAAAAGAGCAACAGACAAGTCTCTTGTGATGCATCTGCGTTCCGAATGAGTGGTAGAATCAAAAATATGACTATTCAATAGTATAATCTTTATTCAAATAAACTCGATACAATAATGCTTGTATCGAGTTTATTTGACTAAAGATTATTTCTATTTCTATTTCCTTCTAACGTTTCTAATATACATGTACTTCATTGGGAAATTGCACACGTGTAAAGTCGGGACGTGTAACTAGTTACATATAGGGGATAAAAATACATGTCATTAAATAAAATCTATTGTCTGTCGGTGTTTTAACCAAAGGACAATCGTAAAACCGTCATGGGATTCTTTTACGGCTAAAAATACGGTTTCGGATTGAATTAATTTAATTTACCCTTAAGAGGAGTCCACGCTATAAAATTACAATATAGGTATTACTCAGTATTCGTTCTGTCTCTACTCAGAGAGCTTGCGTATCTCCTCGCCCAAGCAAGATAGCTATACTTACAACCTTATACAATTAAAATTTTGGCGAAAATATTTATGTTCCGCACTAAATTTTTCAGTATTCGTTCTATCTCTATTCAGAGAGCTTGCGTCTCTCCTCGCCCAAGCGAGATAGCTATACTTACAACCTTATAAAATTAAAAAAATATAAGTAAAATTTTGCCGAAAATATTTATGTTCCGCTCTACTCAGATTACTCTATGATTACAGTAAATATAAAGGTGTTTTTACTTTCGGAAAATACATTTTCAATCCAAAGTTTTGCATCTACTTCATCTGCTTCTTCCTTATCCCATTTATTTAGGAATAGAAAATCATTTATTCAAATAAACTTACATACAAGCATTTTTTTAATCTACCGCTGTTTCTTCCTTATCCCATTTATTTGTGGTCGGCGTAATATGTTTTTCTCTTCCATTCATCCCTGTTCGCAGTCATCTCGTTATTTACTTCCTTTCTTACCATATCATCTTTCACACAGTCCATCCATTTCTTTTTCGGCCCTCCTCTGCTCTTATAACCATACACATTCCTATATTTGTTTTGCATATACATATACATAATTATAATGCATGAAATATAAACAAACTTGTCATTCCAAAAAAGACTAGCAAAATCTATTAAGCAGGGACAGTTATTGAAGATAATAATGTGCCAAAAGTAGTAGACGATTTACCAGTTTTAAAATTTAGAAGAAGTATGAAGTAATTTTTTGAAAATAATCCATTTTATTTCTTAAATGAATTTGTCAAAATCTAATTTAAATTTATGTCAATGATTAATGTCTACTATCTATCTTCTTCTTCTAAATAATATATATATAACTCAAAGGTGACTGATATAGTGATGTATCAATGCACAGGACGGATACGATATACGATACTACAAACCACTGGACGGATCGGGCTGAAATTTGGCATGCAGGTAGATGTTATGACGTAGGCATCCGCTAAGAAAGTATTTTGATTAATTCTACCCCCAAGGGGATAAGATAGGGGATGAATGTTTGTATGAAACTTTGTCAATTTTAAACCGATCGGGCTGAGACTTTTGATAAATTCCACCCCTAAGGGGATAAGTTAACGCGAGCGAAGCAGCGGGCAAAAGCTAGTTGAATTGTAATTTTTAACTGACGAGCTAAATGTGACCTGTTTATACATGGCAAATAAGTAAATCTAAATCTATTTTTAATTTTTTTATACTGTCTAGAATTGTTCAGTTTTTGGTATTCTGAAAATTCATTATAATTCCAATAACTTACATTTTTTTTCCAATATTTATACTGTCTTGGATTGTTAATACGAATGAGCTAAAGGTAGGTTCATGTTTTGGTGACAATCTATATTTTCAGTTACGTGTAATACTAAAAGAAACTTAATTATAGAAAATCTGAATAGTGTGAAATGTTTATATTAGTTGCATTATTCTATGGACTCATTGAATTTCATTACTTATTGTAAAAAAAATCATAGAAATGCTTTTTGTATGGTTTAGAGGAGCAAGGGATATGTTTTTCATCGAGTTTTATTTGTTACTAGCTGTACCCGCGACTACATCCGCATGGAATTTAAGTTTGTCTAAAAAAAAAGAAGCCTAATTTACTCCTTATTACATCAGCTACCTGCCAATAAAAGTCCCGTCAAAATCGGTCCAGCCATTTCAGAGATTTTTTTTATATCATAATTTGAGCGCGTTTGACCGCGGATTAGCCGGAACAAACTGACAGACGGACAGAAATTGTAAAAAATGTTATTTTAGTGTATCGTATTTGTATTCATATGCATGTAGTAAAAACGGTTATTTCAAACCAACAGACACTCCAACTTTATTTATATGTATAGATTGTTAAGTTTTTTATAGTTGTACGTTTTGTATAGAAAGGGGATAAGGGACATGTAACCTTAACAGCGTGCTGAGTGGTTGTAAATAAATAATCAAATGAGAAATGAAGAGAAATAGGGATGATGTCGTAATACCCATACAGGGTCGTAACATAAAAATTTAACTCCTACTCATTAACTATAAATAGTATATTAGTAAAAAGATTCCATAAGCATGAGGATATAAATGTTTTACTACCAAATACCAATCAACGCAGATATTTCCTGTTCTACAGAAATAGTTCCGATTTGTTAAACAAATATGCAGGATTTTTTTACAAATATTTTATACAAGCTGTGCCCGAGGTTTCACTCGCGTTAAATTTCAATAAATTTGTTATTCCGATGTATCATAATCATTACATAGTATAAAACAAAGTCGCTGTCGCTGTCTGTCCGTGCCTATGTATGCTTAAATCTTTAAAACTCCGCAACGGATTTTGAAGCGGTTTTTTTAATAGATAGAGTGATTCAAAAGGAAGGTTTATATGTATTATACATGTACACCCGAAGCCGGGGTGGGTAGTTAGTAAGCTATATTTCATACCTTTTTTTTTCTATTTTTCATTTCTTTCCAGTTAACTTAAATCAAAATTTATATCCGAACATTATTATTCACGTATTTGCGTGCTTATTTTTAATATTCCGCCAAAACTGGTCACATCGATCAAACCCGCGACTATCGGAAGTAAAACGGAGTACTAAACCGCTAGACCATCGCGGCCGCCGAAACCAAGCAAAATTCTGTTGCAATACCAATTTGGGACTATAAAATTATTACGGAAGACAATGCCAACCCTCCAAAGTATTGTCAAAAGTCTTAAACAGGGGCGGATCTACCTAAGGGCTTTTTAGGCTGCAGACCAGGGCCCCGAGGATATAAAGGGCCCTCAGTCCCCACTGAAACGATATTTAGAATATAAAAAAAAATCTAGAATGTTAAAATCAATTAACCCTTGCAAGTGCGTGTCTATTGAAAGGAACGGGGAATTTCTGGTCGTTACTTTTTGGTTGGTGTATTTTTTTAGTTGAGTAATATAATTAGGTAGGCCTAAGTAGATTTAGCCCAGGGCCCCACAAATTCACGATCAGTCCCTGGTCTTAAAGATGAAGTATTTGGGTGGTCTCTTTGTGGAGAGTGATAAAATTGCCGGCTCCTCTTTACGACTCATTTGATAATGGCCAACGGGCTATTCCGTAAAACAAGACAATAGACACTTAACACGGTGCTGAATGTTCGCTGTTGAGATTCAAGAAATGCAGCTGTAGCTTCATGGAAGCTATGAGTTTTATGAAGTACAAGGTGTTAGAGTGTTTCTCAACCGTTTTTGTGACATGTCCCACCTTGGCCTTTCTAAAATTCTTACGCCCCTATTTTTTTTATTTGGTTGTTTGGACTATGGTCAGGTGCATCGACCTGTAGGACTGCGAGCTATATATTGTGCTCGCCCTTTTCAAAGTTCGCTACGTAGACCCGTCAGGGACAAAAATTGGAGGATATTCTTAGGAGCGATTGTTTTTATCTCCTCAGGAAAGAGTGTAAACTTTCCAAAGAAGATATTTCGTTATTGTTTTGTTATAGAGTGGGCTACAACCACATAGGATGTGTAGTGGCGTTTCCTCTTCAGTTTAGTTTATGCCCCTATGTAACATACGTAATTTTTAATAGTATAAAATTGAATTGTTACCTTGAGAAACTTATTATGTTGTTTGAAAAAAACACTAGGAAATTGTTACCACACAGCAAGTTTTCAAAACATATAAATGAAACTGAAATTTTAATTCCAAATAATTTTAATAAAGATTTTCTATAAAAATCATTAGGAAATTGTTAAAAAACTTAAATAAAAATTTTAAAACATATAATAAAAAGCTGAAATTTTTATTCCAAATAATTTTAATAATGTTTTTCTATATTAATTAAATTTAGTAATAAAGTAATGTGGTTCACGGCTGTGTTTTCCTTTTGATATTTTAGCCGTTTATGACTATCAAGTTTTTTCTTTTTTTCTTTTTCAGGGTAAAGATACATGCGTACTTATATCGGGCGAGTCTGGATCGGGCAAGACTGAAGCATCCAAGTTCATAATGAAGTATATAGCGGCGAATACAACACAAGTGCACAGAGATTACATAGACAGGTTAGTGGAATATGTTTACTGAAAATTCAGAATCGAACCGGCGACCTTCATTATCATCATCGTTACATAGTATAAAACAAAGTCGCTGTCGCTGTCTGTCCCTATCGATAACAGAAAACATCTACATATCTATACCACAGATAACATAACGAAGCAATATCTTGTCTATTTTAATTTCTTTAGACAGCCTTGGTGGTCTAGTGGTTTAGCGTACCGCTTTACTATACGATGGTCGCGGGTTTGAATCCTCGCATGGCTCAAACATTTGTATTCATGAGTATGATTGTTTGTATCGGTCTGGCTGTCTTCTATGTATAATATGTAGGTATTTACGAAAAAAAATTATCTATGTATTTGTATCAGTTGTCTAGTACCCATAACACACCCGCAGTTACCCGCTTTAGTTAGCTTAACTTGGGTCTAGATAGCGCTGTGTGAATTGTCCTCACATTATTATTATAATAGATAGACGAACCCACTCACTAGTGACACATATACACATACATATACAATAAACAAGATAGTATCATTATATAGTATAAAACAAAGTCTCTGCGGCTATCTGTCCCTATGTATGCTTAAATCTTTAAAACTACGCAACGAATTTTTTTTAATAGATAGAGTCATTCTAGAGGAAGGTTTATATATATAATACATGTGCACCCGTGCGAAGTCGGGGCGAGTAGGTAGTCGGAAATAAGCTAAACCGCTAGACTAACAACGCTGTCAAATAGAAGGATTAATTTCATATTTAGTGAATATCTTCGTAAGGAGGTGTTACTTAACAGGAGTGTGACCAACGCTATAAAATATGTAGTACTAACTGTGCCTGCGGTTTCATCCGCATTAAATTCAATATAAAATATAGCCTATGTGTTATTCTGATGCATAATCTATATTACTGTAAAGTTTCATCAAAATCCAGTAGTTTTAGCGTGTGTATAAATCATAGTTGAAAATTTGTGGAGATAAATAAAACGCCATGATGGAATTTTCACATCTCTAACAATATTTTTTATTCTTAAAACAAATGAATGCGAACCGCGTTCGAAATTTAAAATAAATACAAAGAAGTTTTTATGTCTCGTACATAAAGCTCCCAAACAAACAAATGTTAAGAAACAACATTACATAATATAATGTTTTATAAAAATCTTATTAATAAATAAAAGTAATATCGTTTAAGTAAAGTATAGTCTACACACTAAAGAAATTAATAACTGTTTTGTTAAGACATGTTAAAAATACTAATGTTCAAATCTTTTCCTAGCTCAGTAATTCATTCCTTAAAACTATTATAGAATGTATAAATATATCCGATAACATATTGCAGTTTAATAAGAATAAAACATTTATTGGAATTGTTAACAAATTACTAGTACACGAATCTTTAAATAAAATAATGTATATATCTTTACTACAGGTTTTTGATATATAAACTTTTGAATGATGATAATGCATAGTTTTAATAGATATAAATTCCAGATTCCCTAAGTGATGACCTGTACCACCGGAGGCTAGTATCTCTCAATATGTGAGGATCTACCACACACAACAAATATTTTGAAGTAATCGATTAATAACAACAGAATGACAAGTATTGGAATGAGTTAAATCATCTTGTTTATTATATACAAATACACTCAAACTTGTAAGATTAATTGTTTTCATCCTACATGAAGTAATTTGCGAATCACTAAATAACAATAAAAGTAAATAAAAAATTAATAAAAGAAAAAAGTAACTGAACTGAAAGCTGAGAATTAATTATTAAGCTTATTCTTTAACACAACTATACAAAATGTTATAAAAATCAAATTTACAACAATAATATAATTTTTATATATACAATTTTTTATATGTATATATATACAATAACCAGATGCATTGAGACTTGTATTATAGAATCCCACTAACTGAATTGTAGGTGAATCTTTTAAATATAAATCACGCTTGACACGTGGTACATGTAGCTCTAGGTATACAAACAAATGATCATAGAGTAAAGAACTTAGACATTTAGTCCTGCCACTATATATCAATTTTATAATATTGTTATTCTTCCTTATAATAGGATAATATGGCATATTAAGTAAATTTATAGACACATTACCTAAATTACAAAATAAGGCATATTGTGAATCTAAATAATTGTTACTAAATTTTATATATACATTTTTACAATATATATCATTAGGAAAACGTTTATTTAATAATAAATTCATTCTTTGCATAATTCTTGTAAACAAATCACATACTTTAAGTTCACTTACAAATTTGACATTCCGATACATTTTAAACTTATTATTTAAAATAACACCATTGTGTTGATGTACTTTTTCAGTAAATGAATGTTTTGTTGTTGCTGTAGCATTGGGAGTGGAAATATCTACATTCGAAAGTTGTTCTGAAATATTATCTACTGATTGATTTGCGAGTATATGCATGGAATGAGTATAATTGCTCACAGACTTGCTGTGAATTTCCCCCGAAACAATATAACCGAAAGATGTATTCTGTAATACGCATCTCCCTGGCCCTAATTTAATCTTGCCGGGAAGCAAAACATCAAAAAATATGTCCGCGGCTAATAATAAAGAGATAGGACCTGGAACGTTAAACGTGGTGTCAGCCAGTATCACATTATTAGGAATTTTAATGTTACACGAATCAATCTTATGTTGGGGAATAGGTAAAGTAATATTATTTACAACAGAACAATTTATGGAAGTGGAATAACTCGTGTTTAAAGAACTTATATTAATATTTACGCCATCTTTGACCTGCTGCGCCTGTTGACCTATTGTCACGATATTAAATTCATTTTTAAAAGGTGTAAGACCTAATTCTTTAACAAGGTTACGAGTAACAAACGAAGTTTGACTACCACTGTCCATTAATGCGCGAACCTTACGAAAACTGCCATCACTAGCCTGTACATTGACTATGACAGTAGGTAACAAGATACTTGTATTTACAACAGTGCTACTGCAAGCAGTGCTGACAGAAGTAGTTGGTGTCTGTGTATCTTCTTCATAATGAAGAAGAGAATTATGACATTTGCTACCACAATGAGAACATTTAAATTGAAAATTACATTTTTTGTTCATATGCTTATTAAGACATATCACACATAAATTATGTTTATTTACAAAGCTTAGTCGGTTGTCTACAGACTCCAACTTAAAACTAGTACATTTGTATAATCGATGATCAGTAGCGGAACAAAATAAACAATTATATAATACAGGTTTAGTATTAACAAAATTAGTAAACTTCATCTTACCCAAATGAATTTTGTTACCATTCTCGACCTTATTACTCTCTTCAAAACTACAAGCGCGGCGCTCTAAAAACTTCAATAAGTCATCTAAAGTAGGAAGCTTGCTCTGATCACGTTCTGCAAAATATGCGCGACAAGTATACTGGTCCAACTTGCGTGAAATAATGGACACAAGAATCATATCCCATGCGCTAACGGGTTGTCCCAAGCTGTCGAGGGCGCCGACGTTCTGCCGCACGACGGACACCAGCTCCCGTAGGTTGGCTGCTGTGCCTCGTGTGAGAGGTGGTATGTCGAATATATGATATATATGACTTGTAATTAAAATATATTTATTACTGTATCTATCTTCTAATAGTTCCAAAGCTTTTGAATAGGATTCGTTAATGAGCGGAAGACCATCAATCAGACTAAGAGCATCGCCGAAGAGATATTTTCGTAAATAAAATAGTTTCTGAATATTTGTAAGATCACAGTCGTTATCAATAATTGCTCTGAACATATCAATGAATGTTTTATATTTACATATATCTTTTCCATCATAAGAAGGAATCTCCAAAACCGGCAATTTATTTTTTATGGATTTAGGCATATTGTCAATGGATTCACAGCGGGTAGACTTTAATTTCAAATTATTAATTATAGACTTTATGCGTGATAAAACATTTAAATATAATTCTTCGGTTTCGTTGAATAAATCACTTTCATCTGTCTCTTCAAGAAGGCAAATTTGTTCTTGCAAGCTATCATATTTACTATAAGCCATATTAATTTGTTCAATTCTCACCTCCAAATCCATAATGTCTTCATATTTACATTCTTCAATATAATTAGCAACTCTCGTTATCTTACCCTTATAATATGCTCTCGACCGCTTCAACTTTTCAATATTATCTTCTTTAGTCTCCATTTTTAACAAAAATAATAATATATATTTTCCAACAAGATGCCCGTGTTATAGACACAATCAAATATAACTTTGATTTGAGGCGAATTAAATGTGAAAACAATTAACTATAACGTAAATTGTTATATTGCACTGGTTCTAATATTATTAATATGTCGAAGGACCATTAACTATGTATAAATCATAGTTGAAAATTTGTGGAGATAAATAAAACGCCATGATGGAATTTTCACATCTCTAACAATATTTTTTATTCTTAAAACAAATGAATGCGAACCGCGTTCGAAATTTAAAATAAATACAAAGAAGTTTTTATGTCTCGTACAGCGTGAAAGAGTAACAAACATCCATACTTACAAACTTTCGAGTTTATAACATTAGTAGAATTACCATCAGGTAGACCGTAAGCTTGGTGACCTATTCCAATTATATAAAAAAATGTTTATTGTCATCCAAATGTTGGCCAAACTTGCTTTATCAACCAACAAGGTCATAGGCTATTTTTAACCCCATCAAACAGTATTATGCAGACGAAGTCGCAGGTAAAAGCTAGTCTATAGTTTATCTAATTATATCTGTGCTTTCTTTCAGGGTAAAAAACGTATTGATTCAATCAAATTCAATATTGGAGACATTTGGAAATGCAAAAACAAATCGGAATGATAACTCGTCGAGGTTCGGCAAATATATGGATATACATTTTGACTACAAAGGGGACCCTGTGGGGGGTCACATCAGCATCTACCTCTTGGAGAAGAGCAGGGTGGTCAGCCTGCAGCAGGGGGAGAGGAACTTCCACTCGTTCTATCAGGTCAGGATTTTTTAATGGAGAGTTGCACTCGCCAGCGCTAACGGTATACTAGTGGGGCACCAGTGGGGGAAGGGTATGGTATATAGGCTTGACCTCTACTGGTGCCCCACCAGCGTATATCGCTAGCGCTGGCGGGAGCACCATTCCATTATCATCCAGTGAGAATATAATAAGGAGTTAGGACATAGACTGATTTGGTTTTTTTTTTGGCCTAAATTTAGGTTGTTATTGCTTATAATGAAAGAGATAGTCTATCGTATCAAAGAATGTGTGTATGGATAAATTTATCAAGCTACCGGCGCCAGATATATGTATTATTGCTGTGTATTATATTAAAACTAATAATAATGTACTATCACAATTGTAATCCAAGATAGGATAAGCAAATCTATTTATTTTAATCGATGATAATGGAATGGTAAACCCACCTGCACTAACGGTTTACGCTTGTATTTGTACCGTGAGAGGAATCGAACCCGCAACCATCGGAAGTAAGGCAGCATCTTAAACCGCTAGACCACCGAGACCGTCAAACGATTTAAAATAGCAAATGGCAAACACACCACGTTTCTGCATCAGAGAGTGATTGAAAAATGTAAATTGACACACAGTTTTTGGTGTATACCAGATTTAAACTGACAACCTTTGAAGTCAAAGTGGTGTAATAAATAAACCACTAAGTCACAACACTCTCATTTTCTCAAAGTAATCTGTGTAATGTGTGTTTACGAGCGAGTTTATTGTGATTAATGTTTCGTTTCATCGCTTATTTAATATGATACATTACCTGACCACATTATTATGTTATATTATTGGCTATCAAATAGAGTTGTTCCAGCAAAACGTCCCGATATAGCGTCTTTATTCTATACTTACTTCGATTTTACTTTATTTGTTACTTTACTTTATTAATTACTTTACTTTATTCGTTTCTACTTACGCTATAAATGACGTCAAACTTATTAATATTATAAACTCAAAAGTTTATAAGTATGAATGTTACTCTTTCACGCGAAAACTACTGTACGGATTTCGGTGTAACTTTACAGTAATATAGCTTATACATCAGAATAACACAGGCTATATTTTATATTGAAATTTAAAGCGGTTGAAATCGCGGGCACAGCTAATAGGCTATTATTTAAAAAGATATGTAAATTGAGAGAAATATAATGATAAATATATCAGAGCAATATATTTGAACAGAGATTAAGTGCGTAGCGATTTCTATGTTGATGGTCGCATGTCTAATCCTTGTTATTAATTAAATATAAGTAAATCAATATTTATTTAAAAGAGCTTCACACAAGTTTCTTGCTTATTCTTCTTGTATCAAGTCTGCATTCCGAATAAGCGGTAGTATAAAAAAACTTGACTATTCAAAAGTTTATTTGAATAAAGATTAGTTCTATTTCTATTTCTATTACATATATAGACAACTAATTTTATACCACGACGGCGAGATCTGTGAACAAAATTTTGTTATAAAATACTGAGATATGTATTTTATATAAATGACACTGAAATCGTGTTCCCGACTGCGTTAATGCGCATACGGAGCTATTTTTTGCATTAGCCGCAACCAGTATACCAGCGTCTATTACTAGCCATCCCCTCTCACCTATTACTAATCATCCCCTATCACAAAGTTAGGTGGATAATCAACTTGTTTGCAATTTTGGATAATTAAAAAAAAATATCTCAGGATAATACACGATGCGCCATCTAGTTCCAAGCTAAGCAGAGCTTACATTATAGGTACTATACTACTGTTATAAATACATAGATACATTTTTAATACATACATAATATATATAGAATACATCCAGACCGATAGAAACAATCACATTCATAAATACAAATGTTTGTACCGTGCGAGAAATTGAACCTGCGATCATCGGATGTAAGGCTGTGTGCTAAAACGCTAAACCACCGAGGCTGTCAGAAATCATTATCATTGCCTTGCCTTTATCCCATTATTTGTGGTCGGCGCAGTGTGTCATTCTCTTCCACTGATCTCTATCGGACGTCGTATCTGAACATGATATGAATAAAAGAAGAGTATGTACTCTTCTTTTATTCATATCATCTTTCACAAAATCCATTCACTTTCATATTATACACTTTTCTTAAGACATGATCCTCGTTCCACCGCATGACATGCTCATACAAGTTGCGAGATTACAGATTGAACTGGTATGGCAGCTCAATCTGTTACCTCGCAACTTGTCTATAACTGGCGCAACTATCAACTTCCTCGTATATACACATTACTTATTTTGTCACTCCTGGTTACCCCACACGTCAGAAATGTATTTAGTTTTTGATTTACAGTTACTCAGCTCGAACAACGCGCAAACGAAAAAGTTCGGCCTGAACTCGAGTGGCACGTACAAAATATTGGGCAGCGAGCGGAGCACCGCGCAGGACTCCAAGTTGTGTTCCGTCACGAACAGCGCCTTCAAATCGCTCGGCTTCTCGCCCGCTGTCATCGCCGACATATGGAGCATAGTCGCCGGGGTTATACTGCTGGTAAGTTTTATCCAGGATTATAGTAGGTCAAATCTAAATGTTTATCTAGTTATTTATATGATGTATTGTAATAAATTTAGTTTATAAATGCATATATATGTATAATCTTTATTCATAAATATACAGTACAATTCAATACGGCTCTCGCTAAGTTATCTCAGACTTACGATGTCGGTTACCCTGCGCCACGAAAGCCAGTTCTTTCCTACATATTGTAAACATTTTAAGTACATTTGCAGGTAGTTGTGCGTCTACCTATGGAGGGACCTTTGGGTCCCTGAAATGTAGTAAAAATGTGAGCCCAAGGTGACCACAATCAAGGCAACCTACAATTAAATAAAGTTTTATCTATCCACTTTACGATAGCGTCAAAATCCATAACAATATAGCGGGACCTTCAGGTCCCTAAAATAATAGTTAAACTCAAGTTGCACGTTTCATTGGTGGTACTTATGAACGGGTAGTGCTTTTTAGGAACTAATCTGATCTGACTGACTACGACTGTATTATTTTGTGACTCATATAAATATATTATATGTATGTATGTATTTTGAAATTCGTGCTATTTGGTAATTCTATTTCAAATCTTATTAAAAATGAATTTAATAAGATTTGAATAGAAATTTATAGATATTGCTCACATTTTTTACTGAATCTGTATCAGAATTAGAGCTATCGGTTACGTTTTTTGTTGAACTTGATTACTACATTTTTGGACAGTCAGCATAAAAAATGTCTGTCGTGTTAAAAGATGTCTGTCGCTTCATTTATTCAAAAGTACAATGGTGTAATGTAAATAACATTTGCACAATAATTCAGACTTATTGTTATGCATGATTTACTAATGAGGTTGTGTGTAATAACGTCGCGGTTGCTTGCATGCCAGCTTATTGGTAAAGAGCAAATTTTATTTCAGTGTACGGTCTGTCACCCTACAGCCGTCAGCATTTTATACCGTTCTATATCCATATTACAACCTAAAATATAACTTGGTCCACATTCAAGCATCTTGTATTTATATCAACAATAAACAAAGTTATTTAGAAAGCAATCCGAAATTTATCATTTATACATCAAGCATTATCATAGTATCTGGACTATGTATCACAGCAGATTCATATGTCTTTATGGTCCTTCGAGCCGGATTTGACAAACCAATGGATCATAATATTTTATTGTCCATGCTTTTTATGTAACTGGAAACACAAATAAAAGGATTTTGTCTTATCATATACATAGAGATACTTTTTTTGGTAAAGACATCCTCAAATCGATACGAACAATCATATTTAGGAATACAAATGTTACGGGGAATCTAATCTGCGGCCATCAGAAGTAAGACAGGCGTGCTAAAGCACTAGACCACCGAGGTCGTCAAAATAATGATTGCTACTTTAACTTTGCAGGGCGAGTTGGTATTCACAGAGACCCCCGAGGGTCAGCTCAAGATGGGGGGTCCGGTGGGTCCGTGCGTGTCCGCGCTGGGGGTCACGGAGGCGGCGCTGCGCGGCTGCATGGCGGGCCGCGTGCTGGCCGCCGGCGGGGACCTCGTCAGCAAGGAGCACTCGCTCTCAGACGCCAACTACACCCGGCTGGCCCTCATCAAGGCCACCTACGACAGGCTCTTCACCTGGATCGTGCAGCAGGTCAGTATATAAGAACCAAGACGAAAAACGTAGATATTAAAACAAAATAATAACGAATGAAAGTGGAATGAAATATAAATTAGCTAGCAAAGGTTTCTTGGAGTTTAGTCACCCAATAAATTTCTGGACGCAACGTGTTTAACAGGTACGAGCAGTTTGTACGGGATGGTTTGTATTTGTCCCAAAAGAGGGATTTCCAGTCAACATTTCAGAGGTATTGTGGAGCGATGCAAACTGGTATATAATATATTTTTACTAATATTATAAATAATAATAATAATAATGTCTCAGGACAATTGACACAGCGCCATCTAGTCCCAAGCTAAGCAGAGCTTGTGTTATGGGTACTAGACAACTGACATAAATACATGGATACATTTTTTTTTTGTAAATAAATACATGTTATACATAGAAAACACCCAGATACAAACAATCATACTCATGAATACAAATGTTTGTACCGTGCGAGGAATCGAACCCACGACCATCGGATAGTAAAGCGGTGTGCTAAACCACTAGACCACCGAGGCTGTCAACAAAAGTAACTGTGTCTGTCTGTCTCGATTTCGCGTCAAAACTACTGAATCGATTTGAATGAAATTTGGAACACAGTCTAGATCCTGAGGAAGGACATAGGCTACTTTTTAATGTGAAAAAAGGGTTGTAAGGGGTTGAAAGGGACGATGATAGTTTGTATGGAAACATTGTAATTTTTAAAGCTGGAAGGTTGAAACTTATTATTTAAGCTGTTGATTAAATATAAATAAATATGACATTCAAAATCTGTAAAACTATTAAACTAAATAAAATAGGGTATGAAAGCTAGGAACGATGAAACTTTATCTTTGGATATTTTTTCTTCATTCTGTCAAGATATTGACGACCTCGGTGGTCTAGCGGTCTAACACACCGCTTTACGTCCGATGGTCGCGGGTTCGATTCCTCGCACGGCACAAACATTTGTATTCATGAGTATGATTGTTTGTGTCGGTCTGGGTGTTTTCTATGTATATTAAGTATGTATTTACGAAAAAAAAAAATCTCTATGTATTTGTATCAGTTATCTAGTACCCATAACACAAGCTTTAGCTAGCTTAACTTGGGTCTAGATGGCGCTGTGTGAATTGTCCTGAGATTATTATTATTATTATTATTATATAACATACTGACGAAGTCGCGGATACAGGTAGTTAACTATAAGTGTCAATATTAAGTTTGTTTTTTGAACCAGTCTACGTTCGTTTATTACAGATCAACAAAGCTATAGAAGTGCCCTCCGGGACATACAAGAACACGCTCATCGGTGTCCTCGACATATACGGCTTCGAGATCTTCGACACCAACAGTTTCGAGCAGTTCTGCATCAACTACTGCAACGAGAAGCTACAGCAACTGTTTATTGGTGAGATATTTTTTTTTATGTAACTTTAATGATACCAGGAGCATCCGCATACGCTGAACCGGGTCGTTTTGTCGCCTTTAATTAAGTATGTTTTAAATGTATTTTTTTCGTGTAATTTAATTGGAAGCAATAAATCATTCTTCTTATAAGTGAACTGCAAGTTTATTATATGTGGTAACATATATATTATTGGTAAACATATTTTTATGGAATTGTACACACCGCTTTACTTTTAGTCGCTGTTCGATTCCTAGCAGAAGAATTTTTATTAATAAGTATGATGGTTTTTGTCAGTCTGGGTATTTTTTATGTATATTATGAATGTAATGTGTAAAGTAATGATAAAATTATTTAAAAGAGCAACACGCAAGTTTCTTGCTCGTTCTTCTTGTGATGAATGAGCGGTAGAATAAAAAAATTTAATGACTATTCAAAAGTGCTTCAATGCAAGTTTATTTGAATAAATGATTTTTTATTCTATTCTATTCTTAATGTATTTACAAAAAATATCTGTATTAGTTGTCTAGTATCCATAACAAAAGCTCTGCTTAAATTCGGACTTGATTGCGCTTATAGTGTGAATTGTCCTCAGATATTATTATTACTCAGAGTGTAGCTGAACCAAGTACAAAATCTGCCTTTATTTATGGATATATTTTTATTTTTAGAACTGGTGCTGAAGCAGGAACAGGAGGAGTATGCCCGCGAGGGTATCCAATGGACGCCGATCAAGTATTTCAACAACAGAGTGATTTGCGAGCTGGTGGATGCACCGCATCAGGGCATCATTGCTATTATGGACGAGGCCTGTCTTAATCCCACCAAGGTATCACATTCTGACTCATTTTTAGGTAAGGTCCAAGATGCTGACGTGTTTACAGCAGCCTTGCCTCTGCCTCGATCCCACTAAGGATCACATTCTAATACATTTTTGGGTAAGGTCCAAGATGCTGAAGTTTGCACAGAAACCTTGCCTGATCTAAAAAATTAGAATATACATATCTTAATTACCAGCTATGCCCGCGACTTCGTTTGCGTGGAATAGTGATCTTGTATAGCATTTTTACCTTCTTAGGCTAATTAAAAAAGCCAATGAAAAAAGTATCATCGTTCTAGCTTTAAAAATGACGAGTTTCCATACAAACTGATCCCTTTTTTATTTTACCCCTCTAAGGGTAACATTTTTACTTTTGCCGTAACTTTATTTTGTATTAATTTAATAAATAAGATTAAGGCATTCCACTCTAAGGTAATGAAAATACACTACTAATATTATAAGCTAGTTATCTGGCCTGACTTCACACGGGCAATTATTCAAGGGTCTCTGTACAAATATATAATATAGATACCTACCTTAGAGATCTTATAATACCTTATGGACTAACATATATATGAAATAATAATTATTACATAGTATAAAACAAAGTCGCTGTTGCTGTCTGTCCTTATGTATGCTTAACTCTTTAATATGCAACGGATTTCGAAGCGATTTTTTTTAATAGATAGAGTGATTCAAGAGGATGGTATAAACCTTCCTCTTGAATCACTCTATAATCTATAATCCTCTTGAATAATACATATAAATGTATAATACATGTACACCCGGACGAAACCGGGGCGAGTAGCTAGTAAAATATAAATATAAATTGTCTCTGTGGTCACGGCACAGACTGCAATCTAATTTAAGTATCTAACCTCATAAATATCGTTTCATTTCAGACCATTTTATTTCAATCTGCAATATATACTCTCCACTTTATCCCTTATAAAAAATGTTATATCTTTATGCTTTGAATAAATTTTGTTATTAATGAAATACTAACACATTAATGTTTTTTTTTTCAGATTTCAGATAGTCAGTTACTAGAGGCAATGGACAAAAGGTTGAGCGGCCACAAGCATTATACGTCCCGCCAACTGGCGCCCACAGATAAGAAATTGAAGCATGCCGTCGACTTTCGAATCACGTGAGTAATGTTTATAGCAATTTTTTTAATGAAGCTCATTAAGTCAATTATATAAGGAAATTTCCGCGTTGGACCGCAATCTCATCTTACGTTACGTATAGGTGCGGTCTAACTGTTGATAATATTGGCTGAAGAGATTTAGACTTATTATATACATTTTCACATAAATTAAAAATATTCTTGACTTGACGTGGTCGAGTGGAATGAGTAGTCATGCTCACTAAAATGTCCAGACATGTGGCGGCGTGGTGGGCCGGGTCATTGGGCTCCCTAAAATATGGTCGAGCGCAGTGATGGCTGGCTCATCCGTCATACTCGTGAACGAGTGCTGCTTGTAGGGACTGGTCTGCTCTTATCACTACGACTGATTTAATGTTATTGTGTTTTTATATTTGAGCCTAAATCAATTAGTGCTGGTTGGTAGTTTGTATTCACACGTTTCGACTTGTAAACTGTGAACTTACAAAGATTGTTTAATTCTTTAATTCTTCTTGTGATGAGACAGCTTTCCAAATAAGCGGTAGATTTAAAAAAATGTTGACTATTCAAAAGTGCTTAAATTAAGTTTATTTGAATAAATTATTTTCTATTCTATTCTATTCTTAGGCTGGATTTATATTTGTCTGATGTGTCGTGATGTGATGACTAGTTAAGACATTTATATGTCATTACAAGAATGACGTCTTCTGACGTTATTTTGAATCAATACAGCCGTAGCTCTAGGAAATGTGACACGTTTTCAATGTTCTCCCACGAAAGTGAACCTACAAGAAAATATATAGCGGACTCTGTCACAACACAACACTGGTTCTTGTACATTTCTCTAACGTGTCATTACGGCCCGTTCCTCCTCCGCTTTGACTCAGCCAAAAAATACAAAAACCAAATTAACAAAAAATAAAATTGTTCCCATGTATTACTTCGATTAACTACTAACAGCTCTACTTCTTAAGTTAGTGTAAGTTATTTTAATTTTATTACTGTTTTAAGTATCCCATCCTAAGAAGCTTAAATCCAGTCGCCTGTGGGTTGTTTCCTCCAGAGTTGATGCCAGTGCAATGGGGTTCGCGCCGAGGTCCCAAGCACTACCCTAGGGCAGTGCGGATGACCAGTATGTGTGTACTGCCATAAAAGTTTGATTGACGTGAAACTGACGTGTAAATGACATTTAGGCATTACGCGGGCGACGTGACGTACGCGGTGACCGGCTTCATGGACAAGAACAAGGACTCACTGTGGCAGGACCTCAAACGTCTGCTGCGCTCGTCCGGGAACGCATCGCTAGCGGAAATGTGGCCAGAAGGCGGGGACCACATACAAAAGGTATACATACATTAAACTTTTTTTTTAATACGTGGTATATTTTCAAAATATCCCATCGCCCTTTCTGGATCCGGCTCTGGCTGGATTAAGTGGATAAGGGACCGTCCGGGAACGCTTCGATGGCGGAAATGTGGCAAAGAGGCGGAGACCACATACAAAAGGTTAACTTAACTTTTTTTAACACATGGTATATCTTCAAAATACCCCATCGACCTTCCCGGATCCGGCTCTGGCTGGACTAACCGAATGTGGGACTTGTACCTTACTAAAAATCAGACGGTGTACCTCCAAGATCTTAATATGTGTCGTAATACTCCTTTAATAAAGTCATTAATTGTGTAGCACGTTTTCAATAAAATAACCTTGGTGACAGACGTCGAAGCGTCCCCCGTCTGCTGCGACGTTGTTCCGCAACTCGATGTCGTCGCTGGTGAGCGGTCTGCAGACCAAGGAGCCGTTCTACGTGCGCTGCATCAAGCCCAACCCGCTCCAGACGCCCGCCAACTGGGACGACCAGCTTGTAAGACATTCAACACTATCTCACTACATTTAAAGACCAAATTCGAAACACAAATGCACAATCCCTAAGAATAGAATAGAAAATCAATTATTTAAATATTATTTATATTTTTCCATAGTCCTCACATGTTTTTCAATCAATCGCTCATTTGGAAAGCTGTGAAGATTGAGCCAGATTCTGTGTCGCTCTTTTAAATAATTTTGTTGTTACTTTACATTTCTAAGTTGAAGTGTGAATACAGACTATCAAAAATAGCACTAATTCAATGAAATACTCAAAAAGAGAAAATATTAAATATGCAAGCAACTGGTTGAGAACTGTATGAGTAAATCAGTCGTAGTGATTAGAGCAGACCAGTCCCTACAAGCAGCACTCGTTCACGGGTATAACGGATGAGCCAGCCATCACTGCGCTTGACCATATTTTAGAGAGTCCAGGGAGCCCTAAGTGAAAACAGATAACAGAAAGTCATAGACCTTTCTTGTTATCTGGCTCTATACTGTTGTGTCTTGAACAGATAGATCGTACTAGAGTTAGTTTTATATTTTGTGTTTAATATACATTATTTATATTGTTAACCGGGTCATAACACCAGTAATTCTATAGTATATAAAGGTATTTACCATTCTGGATGTTTCGATTAAGTTACATTAGGCGTGGTCATGAGCTGACTGAACACAGCTGAATCAGCTCGTGATCACGGCTAGTGCAAACTAGTCGAACCTTCGAGAGAGGTAAATACCTTTATTTATCGTAAAATTATTCTTGTTAAGACCCGGTTAACACTGTAGGTCGTACGATGTTTGATATACGGATTTTATGTCTGCTTCGTGTTTTAACGAGTCTGTCTGCCTGTCTGAGAAATGTGGCAGGTCATGGTTTCTATAAGAAACCGCTTGGAGAACAACCTCCAAGCAGTTTCTTCAGGAGATCCTCATGATAAATTCGTGGTGAATTTGTCAGGAAGGGCTAACTGATCTGACCTCATGTTTATATTATCATCCTCCACTGGTGCCCCGAGTGTAAACTGTTACCGCAGGCGTGTGCACCATTTCATTAACAGCCATTAAAAAATTCAATCACAGCACAAAAGCACCTAAAATTGTCGCAATTAATTCACGAATCAACACTCACAATAATTAGAGCTATCGCAACTGGTTAAAAAGGAAAATAATTAATTGACAAATCGATTTGCGAAATTGGGGTCGAATTATCGCATTTCAGTCCTCTAGCATAATGTCGCAAAGTTCTTCGGTGACCACTCTATCTGATTTCATCTCATTATACTGTTCTAGTTTGTTTAAGAAATACTTTAAAAAAATTCTAAATAAATGAAACTTTCTCATATATTTTCATGTACGGACAGTGAAAAGTAATATATTTTTTATATACACATATATATGTAGAACACACAGAAAGTGGTATGTGAAACACAGAAATTCTTATAAATATGTAAGTAGAGACTCTATATGAGATATGTTACATAGGTACGGCATCAGGTAGCATACCTAGGCCTGGTGGAGAACGTGCGAGTGCGTCGCGCCGGGTTCGCATCCCGGCAGCGGTACGATCGGTTCCTCAAGCGGTACAAGATGCTGTCGCAGTACACGTGGCCTAACTTCCGCGGCACCAACGACAAGGATGCCGTGATGGTGCTGCTGAAGGATTTGCAGATCACAGACGTACAGTACGGGCATACGAAGCTGTTCATCAGGTAATATGAGAATTTATAGATGTACTAGGTGTCCCGGCAAACGTTGCTTTGCCATATAAATTAATAACGCTATAAAAAAATAGGGGTTGATGATAGAAGGGTGAAAATTTAGGATTGTATGTATTTTTGTATGTTGTATCATAAAAAAATAGAAACTAAAAATTTTGTCTAAAAAATAAAAAAAAAATTTGAGGTGGACGATCCCTAACATTTAGGGGGATGAAAAATAGATGTTGGCCGATTCTCAGACCTACTGAATACGCTCCCAAAATTTCATTAGAATCGGTCAAGCCGTTTCGGATGAGTATGGGAACGAAAACTGTGACACGAGAATTTTATATATAAGATGTAGTATATGTATAGATATATATATATATATATATATATATATATATATATATATATATATATATATATATATACACGTGAAGCTAAAATTTTGTACCCGAAAATTGCGGAGTATGAAACTACCCGCATAACAGCGTCTGCATCACACTGTCTTGATATTTATCATTATATTTTACTCAATTTACATAATAGCTATATTTCTAACATTTCATGGAAATTAGTTCTGTAGTTTTTGAAAGTAACAAATATTCATCCATACATTCACACCTAAGTCCTTCCTCGTGTTTGGTATGTCATCTGTCAAACTCCCATCCTTTACATACCTTTAAAATGTTAGTATGATTATTATTTGACGGCCTCGGTGATCTAGCGGTTTAGCACATTACTACTAGTGGTCGCGGGTGCAATTCCTCGCACGGTATAAACATTTGTATTCATGAGTATTATTGTTTGTATCGGTCTGGGTGTTTTTTTTATTTTTATACTACTATGGTGGCAAACAAGCATATGGCTCAAAACAAGCAAACAAGCATTTGATGATAAATCGTTACCGTAGCCTATTATGTTTTTATGTATTTTATACGTATAAGCTTTAGTTAGCTTAACTTAGATATAGATGGCGCTGTGTGAATCCAAGGACAAGATTATTATTATCTAAGTGACGCTCGACTATCATGAGCATGACTGACTAATGACACTCGACTACGTCACAACTATTGTTATTGATGTTATATAATGTCGGTGACAAGACAAGTGTGATAGTAACGTGTGGTGGTGGCGGCGACAGGAGCGCGCGCACGCTGCACGGGCTGGAGGCGGCGCGCGCGGAGCTGCTGCCGTCCATCGTGACGCTGCTGCAGAAGCTGTGGCGCGGCACGCTCGCCAGGAACCGGTACCGACGCATGCGCGCCGCGCTACGCATATACAACGCCTGGAAGTGAGTAACACCACACTATCTCACTCGCACTCACCGTCTACAGGGTTACTTGGAAAGAGTAAGCAACACAACATTACCTCGCTCTCACGTACCATGTACAGGGTTAGTAGGAAAGAGTAAGCAACACAACATTACCTCGCTCTCACGTACCATGTACAGGATTAGTAGGAAAGAGTAAGCAACACAACACTACCTCGCTCTCACTGACCATATACAGGGTTAGTAGGAAAGAGTAAGCAACACAACACTATCTCACTCTCACTCACCATGTATACGGTAAGTAAGAAAGAGTAAGCAACACAACACTACCTCACTCTTACTCACCATGTACAGAGTTAGTAGGAATGAGTAAGCAACACAACACTATTTCACCATATATACAGGGATAATTAGGAAGGGGATACTAAACCACAAGGATATAAAACTACCAATGGTAAGGAACAATTTTTCATATACCAACATACGTTAGTTAGTCATGAACTTTCAGTTAGTCACGAAGGTTGTACTAAGTCGTAAGGATATTAAAGAACCCATGGTAACGAACAAAATTGTATTACTTAACTTCCCGTTAGGCAAGAAAGGTACCCTAAGCCGCAAGGATATGATAGTACCTATGGTAACGAACATATTTTGATGTACAACTTTGCGTTAGTCAGAAAGGCTATACTAAGCTTACTATGTTATAAATGGACCTATAACTTTTGTTCTACAATTTTCCGTAGTCAGAAAGGGTATGTTAAGCTGCAACGATATAAAGGTATCTATAACTTTTGTTTTATAACTTTCCCTGTCATCATATAGTTTTTTCTCTAAAGGTTTATTCGCGCGTGAAAGAGTGTAAGTGTTTTCAGCTACATTTGCTTCGCTACTAACTTGCACCAGAGTAAATACTAGGAGAATGTATTAATTCAAAATGTTCACTTACCGTATAAACGTCTAGAACTAGAAATAGATGAGTATTCTCGCTCGGCAGACGGTACAAGTGCAAGCGGTACATAGCGGAGCTGCAGGCGGAACTGAACCGCAACCGCGGCGTGGTGAAGCAGTGGCCGGCCGCGCCGCGCCGCCTGGCCGCGCCGCTGCTGCAGGCCGCGTACCGCCGCTGGCGCGCGTACCTGGTGCTGCGGCCGGTGCCGCGCGACCAGTGGCCGCAGCTCAAGATGAAGATCAGCGCCGCCAGCGCGCTCGCCGCCCGCCGCGCGCACTGGGGCTCCGCCCGCGGCTGGCTCGGGGACTACCTCGCCCACGACGGGTACAACCCCAAGTCCGGTCAGTTACACTATTGTACGCGATCCATTCATTCGATCACGATGTTATAGGACAGTCGTCGCCATCCGGTCCCGAGCTAAGTAAAGCTCGGATTATGGGTACGGTATTGGACGACTTATGGAAAGACATAGGTTTTTTGTAAATACATACGAACGCAAATATTTGTACCATGCGAGGAATCACACCCACGAACTTCGAAAATATGGCGATGTTCTAAATCACCGTCGCATTCATGATCATAATCCTAATTTAAAAAGTAATCAATCAAATCGATTACTATTTTCTATAGAAGATATTTAACCGAAATATACTTTTAGAAAGTACATTGCATGAGTATTTCTATCTCACTTATACCTACTACCAAGTAACTATTTTGTTGATAATGAGGTCAAGATGATGATACCATTAATGATGATGATGATGATAATGTCGATGAAAATGATTTTGATGATATTGAAAATAATTGTTTAATATAAAGAAAGTATATCATTGTTATAGCTCTCTACAAAGCATCGATAGCGAACCTCCAAAGGAGTCAGCACATCGGCAAGCCCTTATTCTCGTGTAAAGTCCACAAGTTCAACAGATACAACAAGCTCGCAGAGAGATGTTTGCTCATTACCGAAACAGCCATATACAAACTGGACGCTAACACGTTCAAAGTCCTCAAGAAGCCCACATCTATAGCTGAGGTAAGATCTTTTTTTAACTATTCTAATGCCGCAGCTGGCCTTTACAGCTTCACCAAACGACAGGGGGCGAGTGCAGATGGCACTCTAAACCAGCGGAAGGACTTATGGAGCAGCTGTAGGCCAACTCCCGCCTGACGGGTACGTTTTTAGTCTCCGGGCACCGCTAAGGATTCGAACCTCGGCATTCGTAATTTCGACGGAGGTAAAATAAGTTTAATTTAGGTAAGGTAGGTTTTGATGTTGGAATGGTGTACCCGTTTATCCTAACCGGTATACGCTAGCAGACAACGAGTGAAAGGTGATATGATGAGGATGCTGCCAGTTTGCACATTGTGGTGAATTCATCAAGAACTCAAATCACCATCGTATTAGGAATTAACAACTGTGGTCTCCAGGGGGGACAGTTGGATATTATTTTTTATGAGTTATATTAGTAACATTTTAAATTATATTATCTTATATATAAAATTCTCGTGTCACAGTTTTCGTTCCCATACTCCTCCGAAATGGCTTGACCGATTCTCATCAAATTTTGTGAGCGTATTGAGTAGGTCTGAGAATCGGTCAACATCTATTTTTCATCCCCCTAAATGTAAGGGTAGTCCACCCCTAATTTTTTTTTTATTTTAAGGCAAAACAACATTTGTCGGGACAGCTAGTCATACTATAGATTTTATATTTGTACGTATAAGTTTCTGGTGTGCGTAAATTTATTTGTGCAGGATTAATACTTCGGATACCTTATTCTCTTCTCCAAGGTCCTGTCTGTTTTTATACCAAAATTAATTAAATTTGGTTTCCGCATTTTTTTTGGATTACACTAATGCTATTGGCCGCGGATGGCCTTTACAGCTTCACGGAACGATAGAGAGCGAGTGCAGTTGGCACATACACGCGGGACTTACGGACCGGCTGAAGGCCAGCTCCCGCCTGACGGATATCTTATAGTCTGAGGGCACCGCTGGGGGTTCGAACTTTGGCTCAGGCCGTCATAATTTGGACCCCGTTCGAATTGGACGAGGGATCGATCGGAGGGATGGTTTGTGCATGTACAGTCCATGTACCTACCATGATGACTTTGTCAAAGTTATCCACCGGCATTAAACAAAGTGTGTGCACAGGTGGGGGCGGTGCGGATAATGAGCAGCGATGTCCAACTGGTGGTAGTCAGCGTACCGTCCACCAGCAACGACCTGGTGGTGGGGCTGGTGCCCACCGCGCCTGGAGATGACTTCGTCGGGGAACTGGTGGGCGTGCTGGCCAACAGATACTACATGTTAGTATTGTTTTTATATACCTGATAGCCATGAGTTTTCCCGTTGAATTAAAATAAATGTAACCAAAGTTAAAGCTTATAATAGAAGCTGTTTTCAAGAGAAAGTCCCGTCAAATCGGTTTAAGCATTAAAAAGACGGACAGGCATATTTATTTATATTTATATATTTGTATGTATAAAAATATAAGTTGTAATTGTTGCCTATATACATACACCTGTTTTACTTGGGAATCTGTTTTCATGCGGAACAGAGTGTCTACTCGTATGTTGAAGTAGGTAAAGAGAATCAGGAAAAGTGCAATATTTTGCGAATACGTTATTTTCGTTCGCGATTTTCCTTCAGTTGCGCGTGTTCTGTAATGGCAAATAAGTTAACGCTCTGGCTGAAGGTAATCGTATACTATATTTGTGGTATTCCTAATTTGTTGCCATTCTTTAGGACAAAACTGTATGGCTTTCGTAATTATCAACCTTGAACACAACTTACAAAGCAGCTTACTACCGGGTTAGCGTTGTCCCGAGTTGGTGTTGTCTCGGGTGGCTGTTATGCCGGATGGGTGTCGTTCCGGGTGAATTTTGCTTTGGGTGCGTGTTGTCTTGTGTGGGTGTATCCCGGGTGGGTGTCGCCCCGGGCGGGTGTCGGCCCGGGCGGGTGTCGCCCTGGAGTGGTGTCGGCCCGGGCTGGTGAGTGACTGGCGGCGGTGTGCAGGGTGTCGGGCGGGTCGCTGTCGGTGGAGGTGGAGCGCGGGGCGAGCACGCGGTGCACGCTGGGCGGCAGGACGCGCGCGCTGCAGCTGCCGGCCGCGGCCGCCGCGCCCGCCGCGCCCGCCCCGCAGCCCTTCACGCACGCGCACAACGTCATCACCTACCACCCGGCCTCCGCGCGGGCCTAACCCTCCTACATCGTTCCCGGAATGACCAACGTTCTCGGAATGACGAGCGTTCCCGGAATGATTGCCGACAGCGTTGTCGATGCTGCTTCGGCTCAACTACTGTATACACGTTAGTAAATGAACCCCATGTTTATTATAATACTAATCCCACCCTAAACAATGTCATCACAATTCTAACTATATTAATAAAAAATTGTACAGATATCTGTGTGTAATAATTTCGGTTAATATAATATATGTTCCCGAAATTAGATACTTCAATTGCGATGTATAAATTATAATATAACATACTGTAATTATAACATAAGTAACTATTATACGATAATGTAAGACAGGGAGTAAAAAATTCCAAACAAAATCTAATCTTTTAAAGCAACCCAACTAACGTGTTCTTTAAACAAAAAAAAATTAAAATCCAAAATTTCTATTTCATTTTTCTATTACATTATACTATCTTTATGTAAAAAATTCCAATATTACATCCTAATTAAAAACCATCTCCTTCCAATTGATAATAAGGTACAAAATTATATGCGTTGTGAACACACCTATTCAAATGTCTAATACTCACCAAATTATACCTTTAGCGACCGATTTTTAATTCTGTCTATGTTGTATTAAGATTCACTTTCTAATTTTTCATTTATGGAACTTATTACAAAAATTTTCGCGCCAAAATCACATTGCACATAAACTCTAATGGTTGTCAAAATAACACTATATATACATATAATGTCCTCTTTTAACTGTATGTTGATGAAAGAGACGGACGAACAATATTTTAATGTACGTATTAGTCAGAGTTATTTAATTCATAATAATATTTAATGGTAAGTGTCGTTAATTTATTCAAAGTGATAATGTTAGTTCTTAAACGTGTAGTCATAGTCAAATATATTTGTTATTTTTTTTCGTTTAAGATATGCGTTTTTTAATTACGTTTTTATAAATATTTTTTGTCTGTGGCATAAACTTAAATAGTATTTTTAAATGTATTGTAATGTATATGAATTTACATTTTTTAAAAACAAACTATTATACATAACAGTGTCATTCTGATTGCATTAAAATATTAGATTAAAAAAGAAGTGCCTCAATTATGACATACGGCTGTGTGAGTAGTTTCCTTTGTCGTAATTAATATTTTAAATAAACACATGAATTGCTCGTATATGGTTTTATGGAAGAATATATATATTCCTTAAACCAATTTTTCAATAATTTTTTTACAGTAATTTTTTTTAAATATAACCTAATATATGACCGTATACGTATAGCCTCTGTGCCTTTATAAAATAATAAAAAAAAAACTAAATACCAGCCCGCCATCACTTGCAACTAAATCATTTTTGTATGAAACTGCAAGCTCTTTTTTATAGTAAAATTTTAGGTTCTCGTCACTGGGAACAAAACGATTTTTGTATGAATGTATGTAACATATTTGCACGGGATCTTTTTAAAAATAGCTTGTAAAAATTTGTCTGCATATACATGCCTTATTTGAAATAAAGCAAAATTTGTACAGTGTTGCTGCAAATTTTGTGTTGCATTATATAGATTTAATATTTATTGAATTACCATAAGTGTGGTGCCAGCTTTTAAAAAATACAGAGTTAATTGTTTACTTAAATACTTAATTGCTATTTAAAAAATATATCGTTTTGTATGAAACAGCAAACTTATGTATAATCAATAAATATTCCGAACATGTATTAATAATGTGATTATATATTGTAATAATATAGTTTTATAACGTACAAACTTAGATTTTAATAATTTATGGTCTAATAAAAATAGTACTCAATGATTTAAAATCTTTAGTCGTACACTCTTGACAGTGTGGTCGTGACTTTCTTGATATCTCTTCGTTGTCCTTGGTGACACAGCTCCTCGCAATTTGCCTCCATCCGGTACAGTTTTTGGCTGTACGATATCATTGTACAATGGACTGCTGTAGCCATTTTCATAAAGTTAGTCCATACCGTTGGTGATCTAACCCAGAGAACGCTATAGAATATCGACAAATAAATCATAAACAAATTATTACAGTACAGCCTCATTTATGGTAAAGCTGTACAGGCCAGCTGCCGTCAACAGCATTAGAATAGTTTAAAAAAAATCGAACTACATTCGATATTATTTACGATTGTCGATCGATAAAATTGGATCAATAAAAATCAAATCGATTTACTAATCGATTGGTCCAATTCTATTAATTTTATGCGGAGGATATCTTGCATGAAATATAAACCGTAGCTGTAAATAATTTGGTAATTTAATATATTATTATTCTGTGACAAATTTGTTTCTTTTTTTAATATATGAAATATGGTATCACGTACTATTTAATTTCTAAAAACATTGAGTACTATTATAGTTAGATCTTATGTAATGTAAATTAGTTGTAAAGGGTATATATTTCAAGCCTAAAATTAGGTAGAATACACATGGAACTGAAATATTTTCACCAAGAAACAATGTGAAAATCTGAAAATAAATTAACAATTTTATTGACTAATTGAGATACAGGTTAGGCTTGGCTGGCCTGGACTTGGCATAATATAGTTCTTAGGAACTACTGGCAATATATACATACTATAAAAAACTTAGTTAAGTCCATTTTGTAGCAGTTGTTTTCGTAATAAACTTATTACTGTTATTTAGCTGTCTTTACACGGCACGTTTTTTCACGCATTCGTTCTTTTTATTTTTTCAGCGTGAAAGCCGATTCGCACGTAAAAGAGCGTACGTGTAAAGGCAGCTAATGAGATTTATATGTTCGTATTTCCAATTTCTTTGTAAAACTTCATTAGTATCATGAACACTCGTTGACTTTTGACTTGACATTATATATACCCTTTAGAAATGAACCTATATAATAATAATTTATTAACATAAGTCAGTATTAAGTTTTGTTAATATACAACGAAAGCATGCTATTTTTAACGGACAGCATTTACAATTGTACACATTATGTAAACAGCACATTTCAAATCAAAATATCTTTATTTCTATATTACAGACTCTTATGATACGTCAAATTTACCAGTTCGTAGTGCTTTCGAGCAAAGAACTGACAAGACTTAGCTCTTATTCTTTTCAATTGATCTTGTACATGATTACAAAAATACAAATTCATTTTTATATTCACTAATTTAGAAGTTACTTATTATTTTAATAGATTTACAAATATCCTGGTCAATTCTTACATAGTTTATATACCGTGTACAAATTGTAAAGAGCCATGATAAAACTTTAATAAGAGGATAGAGACTACAAAGTCGTCTGTTTAGTACCTCTCACCTACTTCAGCCGTCAATCAGCTGTTTCGGTTGTAGGTTACATATTACAGGTTAAGAGATTTGTGTGTTCTCTGGAATGGCAATACATTAAACGGGTATAAAAATGATATCATACATGGCATTGCAAATTAAATAAACACATGGCAAACTTAGACCTGTGCTTAACAAAGTTTTGCAGATTTTCCTAAATAGAAGAGGTACGGCACTACACATCCTATGTGGTTGTAGCCCACTCATGCATAAACGAAATATCTCCTTTGGAAAGTACACACTATCCTGAGAAGGTAAAAAGCAACGCTCCTAAGAATATCCAATTAATTATCAATTCTTGTCCCTGACGGGTCTAGGTAGCGAACTCTAAAAAAAGGCGAGCACAATAGATCTATCCAAATCGCAGTGCTACATATATCTTTAGTATCAAATAAATCTTTGTTCTTTGCCCCTTAATAAAAAAAAGCACTGGTGTCACATGATAACGTGATCTGTAGTAATGTTCATATATATACAGACGGTTAACACCTACCATCAGGTGGACCGTCGATTTTGCCATTCCAATAATATAAAAAAAACTTGTAATTGTTAATAACGCATTGTATATAGCTGTTAATGTTATTTTGAACGAGTGGTCAGCGTTGTACGTGCCTTGTTGTGGTGCCATGAGATTTCTATTTCAGTATAATAAATACAATATTTTTCTTTTAAAAGGTTTCTTCATTTCACTCTTTCATTAGACCTTCTGAATCCTGGGAATTAATAATATCTAGAAATCCTAATAATAATTATTATCCTAGAAATCCTAAGAGAATTGGCGATAGACTATTTTTGGCATAAAAAGCCTTATAAAGTCCTAATCCTATACCAGCGAAAAAGATCTTGGCCAGTCTAGAAATGCAATAATGCATTCTATAGTAGAACGTTTAACTAAAACAGCACTAGCAGGATCCTATCTGGAAGAATAGAATAGAAGAATAGAAAATCATTTATTCAAATAAACTTACATTGAAGCACTTTTGAATAGTCATTACATTTTTTTTTAATCTACCGCTCATTCGGAAAGCTGTCTCATCACAAGAAGAACGAGCGAGAAACTTGCGTGTTGCTCTTTTAAATAATTTTATTATTACTTTACATTTTTAAGTTTAAGTGTGTGAATACAAATTAGCACTACTTCAATTAAATACTCAAAAAGAAAAAATATTGAATACATAACCAAGTGGTTAAACAATTAATAAGAGGAAATCAGTCATAGTGATTAGAGCAGACCAGTCCCTACAAGCAGCACACGTTCACGAGTATGACGGATGAGCCAGCCATCACTGCGCTCGACCATATTTTAGGGAGCCCAATGACCCGGTCCACCACGCCGCCACAAGTCTGGACATTTTAGTGAGCATGACTACTCAAAACACTAGACCACGTCAAAGCTACTCACAATTGCCATCTGATAGTTATAGTATTCACATTTTACATAAGAATGCATGCGGCAATTAATACAAAAACCTGGCTGGACAGGAAGGGAAACATGAGCGGTGAAGGTGAGTGTAGACGTACGTTGGGCAAGGGGTGCGTTAACCCTATACCCGGGTCGCAAGTACCGGGAATTGTTCGGAGTTTCCCTTACTGCCACACGAGGGACCCGGCACCAGCACTGTGAATCCATAGAGTGCTAAGAAGTTCGTTTCCAGCATAGTGGTTTACCACCTCGCCTTACATCGAAAGTAAGTTAAAATCTGATGGATAAGAAAAAACTGACTAAATTTATATTTCTGACTGACTCTCCAGTGAAGCCAACAGCTGTAACAAAACACTGATTGACATATTTTTCTTTAATTACCAACTTCCATATAATAAAAACTGAACTGATTGTTATGAAATTTGTATAAGACCATTTTGCAAGAAAATTCATTCAAATAAAAGGATTTATGATGTAGTTTAGTAATTAACAGAGTTCTGAGATAAACAACAAAATACAGCATAATTCAGGAACTCCTACTTTTTCAAAGGTGGTTAGTAATTGACTGAGTTCTGAGAGAACAAATAGAAATAGAAATAATCTTTATTCAAATAAACTTAATATAAGCACTTTTGAATAGTCAAGTTTTTTTATTCTACCGCTCATTCGGAATGCAGACTCGTCAAGAAGACTGAGCATGAAACTTGTGTGTTGCTCTTTTAAATAAATATTGATTTACTTATATTTAATTAACAACAAGGATTAGGCATGAAAATAAAATATATTGAAAACGAAAGTAATAAATATTGTTTTAATTATATTTATATTAACAAGTATTAGGCATGCGACAATCAACATAGAAACCGCTACGCACTTAATCTCTGTTCAATCCGATAACATTATCAGCGCCATGAATATTAAGTTAGATATTTTCTACAAAAATATTATTATCATTTATAAATTCTTCAATTTTATAATAAGCTTTTTTACAATGAAAATATATTATAAGACATTTGAATTCTTTTTCTGGCAAATTGAATAAATAAATACAACAGAATTCAGGGGTATCTCGTGTTGATAAGATATTGAACATAACATTTCTGTTTGACCTTACATATAGTTGCGTA